ATATTCCTGTCTCCCCTGGCAGTCCGCTCTCGCTGGTGGTCGATGCCACTGGCCATCGCTTCCTTTATCGCTGGCGCGCTTGTTGGTGCGGCTGCCGTTATCGGCAGCGTCATCAGCTTTGCTTTCAAGTTTGCTGCCACCGCGCAGTCGGACCTCAACATCCACGCCAATGTTGGCGTGCGCATGTTCGTCTTCATGTGGCTTGCAGCTGGGTTCACTCTCTATTCGTTCCTTGTGGTATGTTTTGGCCCCCTCCCCCACGCCCCCGCGTCTCTACCTCTACTAACTTGGCCGCCAGCATGCTGGTATGGGATGTTGCTGTGCATCGAGACGAGATATGAAGGGAGGGAAGCGTCGAGAGAATAGTGAAACAAACTAGAGATTTCCTTTTAGGTTACTTGATCCGGTATAGAGGGCACGCATATGAGACGTCGTTGGAAAGAATGGCGTGGAGATATCAGTATTATTAAGCTAGGCACAGATCACTGGGGCGACACCAACCCCGGATTTGTATATCGGGAGGGCGGCGCCGTGCCTTTGCGGCGCAGCTTGCGGCGTTGAATAGAGCGCGATTTTGGACAGCATCCCAGTCAAGGCCGAGATCCGGGAGCAGACGCTTCGCCTCCGACTTTATCTCGCTCACAAATCACAACAACCACGTCACCAAGTTGAAGAATGTCTTTACAATGAATAGATTCAATCGTCATCTACCCATTACCTCCTCCTTCTCCATTATTAAACGTATGTGGCCAGATCTGAACCATCCTCAAAGCCCGGTCCAAAACCAGAATACAACTTGTCACTCAACACCACATCCACAACAACAACAACTGCCGAGAAACCTTTCCAAACAGAAACAAAGGCCCTCTATCGAAACACAATCCCCATTGCAGTTGCTGCTTTTGTTTTTCCCAGAGCTGGACCAAGCCCATCGCAGATGGACCCGGCACTCCAAGCCTTGACAGTGATATGAAACACAAAAAAGATTGTTGTGTACTAAAACAGCACAAACATTTCTCTCAAGAATGCCACAACAGAATACACGAAATTGCCTTTTTGAAACCTAAAGGGGGTTGACACTTTCGTGGGGCCGCGAGAATCGACCCACTAGTGATGCGGCTGTCTCCAGAGACTGAAGAACAGGAGAAGAGGTGTCCGAAGGGAACTTCCCCTCTCCCAAGAGAAAGTAAGGGGTGGTGGTGGTGAAGGCGGGGATTTCAGCTCCCGCCGAAGCGAACCCAGGCCAGCCAGGCTGCAACCGAGGGGAGAGAAATCTCGCGACGCCTTCACACACGTGCCACACGGCCAAAACAATATCTTGTTTGGTGTGGAGAGGAAAGTTCCAAACTCCGTCACGTCTTCCCGCGACCGCGGAGAGTAGTGAGTGGAACGGCCGTTGTTTCAACAACAAATTCCCTGGCGGGAATCGGCCCTGGACGTCGTTACGTTCTTGGTGATGTTCCTGGAGGGGAGGGACCAGATGGTCGCTGTCCTGTTCCAAGTCCTGATGGGTTGGGGTTGAAGTCTTCTTTTTCGTCCTCGCCCGAGGCAGCGCATGCTGTTTACTGACGGACGACCACGCCGTGGCGGCGGGTGGAGCGCTCGGCGTACTCGGTCTCGGATTCGGACGAGGAGCATGAGTCCTCGTAGCTACAGCGGGAGCCGCCGCAGTCGAGCCGGACGCGCTCACCGGAGCGGGTGATGCCGTAGCGCTCGCAGGTGCACGACGAGCAGTCCGAACCGGGGGTGCTGTAGCCCGAGAGATCCGAGTTGGGGCTGGACGAGCCGGAGCGGTACGAGAACGAGGAGCCAGTGGAGGAGACAGGCGAGCTAGAGCCGAAGTCATCGACAATGTTCTCGGCATACTCGTACTCGTCGTAAATACCGGTCTGGGCGAAGCGCTCGCTCAGCTCGTCCTCGTCGAAGTCGACATCCAAGATGTGGCGGGTGGCATTCGGCGACACGGGCTTAGGGGCCTTGATCTGAGAGATGGAAAGCGGGCGGCCCTTGGGGATGTCGCTCGAGCTGCTGTGGCGGGAGCTCTTGGAGGACTTGTGGGACTCTCGGGAGTGGCGAGACGAGCTCTTGGAGGACGAGGAAGAAGACTTGGAGGACTTGGAGCTCTTGGGAGCGTCGAGGATGTTGAGGATGCGGCCAGTGGTGGGCTCAACGGTGGACTCCTCGCTGGGGTTGTGCGACACGTGGTAGCCGTCGATGATGTAGTAGTACCAGTATCGCTGGCCAGCCTCAATGACGGTGGGCTGGAAGCGGAAGGTGCCCTTCCATGAGCCGGACTTGGACGAGGTCTTGTCCTTGGAGAGCGGGAGTTGACCGGTGTAGTTGTCCCAGGAACCAAGAAGATGGACGGTCTTGACGCCAGACGAAACACGGAGACCAAACGAAAGCGTGGACGACATGTTGACTGAATGTGGATATTAAATGTACTCGAGACAAAGTGTACTGCCGGGGCGTTTTGCGAGCAAGCAAAAACCAGCAAATGCTTTTCAGGGAAAGTCGTGGATGGATTAACTGGGGGGGGATAGCGAGACCAGCAAGCTACCGAATTTGGTTTTTTGGATATTAGTTTGAAGTGATTAAACAGAGCGCAGCTCTGGGAAAGAACAAAGAAAGGGGAAAAGGTGAAAAAACAGAAACTGGTTTTTGTTGTTTGAGGGCTTGCTGAAGAAAAAAAGAGAAAAGGAGAGGAGAGGCCGGAGGGTGGCCGGCCTTATATGATCGCGACCGCGAGCCTGGTGGTTACCCAGGCCATGGGCTGAGCGATGGGTGTGTGTGTGAGGGGCGGTCGACCAGGCCAGCAGCCGGCCGGCCGATGCGACCGCTGCGTGCTCACGGCAGCCAGCTTCCTTCCCGCCGCGAAGCCAATGGGAGGGCTGTGGAGGCCGTGACCCGCAGAGTGCAGTCAATATCACGAACAGGCGCGAGTTACCCGAACAAGGCCCCTCCCCTGCTCTCTCGCCGTGGCCTGCCTTGTCACGTTGGGCAGGTGCAGCAGTAGCTGGGTCTGCTGCGCTGCACTGCGACTGCAGCACCATGGGCGGCTAAGCATCTGCCTGCAAAGACAGACAGCCGGCCCCGGACTAGGCGGGTTGGGGGCTGCCCATTCGGGTGGCATGCGGCATGCGAAAAAGACGAGATGGAAGCCCACAGCGAAGGTGGGCGTGGTTGCGGGCAGACGAGATGGGTTTGGCGGGTATCGAAGGACCAGCCCCGCAGATTATCTATGTTGTGGTCCGTGCTTTGGTGATCACCGACCGCGCCATGCCTCTCTGGGTCTAGGCCGGCGTCTAAATCCCTGCTGCCATTCGCCAATCACGGCACACGGACGCCCGATTTCGCGCCATTTGCGCACCTCCCATCACACAGACAATTCAACGAAGCCTTTTGCGAACGGCATCGGACGCAGCCAATAACGGCCGACTTCGCTACCCGGACTCTCGAGCTGTGGCCTGCATGGCCGCCTGGCCGCATGCGCCCGCGGAGGATTCAGTCTTGTTCGCATCGAAGTTGCAGCGGAGGTCAAGAGACAGATCGCTCTTGTTGAAGCTGCCAACCCTGCCGTTGGCTCGATCGCGCGCTGCTTGTGGAGCATTGTCTTGATGCGAGAGAGAAACACTATCGCCGCATACCACCTCATGAGCGAGCAGATGCAGAGCGCCGGGCACGCGGTGCATCTGCGTCCGATGCTGACTGGCTGTCTGTGGTACCCACAAGTCCCGGGCAGTTTGTTTTTTCGGTGAGTCCACGCAGAGATCCTGACAGAGGACAAAGCAAGGCAACATACACGACAGACGGACTCGAACCTTGATGAAGAAACACCAGGTCTTTGTGATCATGAAACAGAAGAGGTTAGGAGGTTTCCCCAACACGTTGACTGTGCCAGAACACGGCAGATGCCGATAACCAGGAAGACAGTCCGGCTTGCATACCAACGCCACGCACCCCAGGTTCCTGTTCAACAACCTCAGATCGGACCGTTTCCAGTAACTTCCTCAGCCGGGCACAGCCTTGCCTCATCTTGCCGTGTGCAGCGGCCATGTCGTCAGCTCTCCGATATATCCAGGCGAGGGCTGCTCAGGGACCTGCAGCCCATATTAGCTTCGGCGGGTAGCTGTGAGGTCTCAACGCCGTCACGTCGAAGCTTTCCGCGGAGCAATCCGTCCTCCACATTGCCCTTCACACGTGTGGAGTGCGTTGAAACACTGAGCTGCCAAGTGCCAGATCATCGATCAGATCCACGCGAGCTGGGAAGCCATTAAGCGCAGAGGCGCCGGGTGCCTTGGATTCATTCCGTGCACCGTGGTCCGCCCAAGGAGCGATGTGATATGGAACCGTCCGCGCACGCCGCTCACTGGCCGGGGGAGCGTTGATGCCCCTGTGCCCGTGCGTGAAAATAGCCGCCAGAGGCCCCCACCTTCCGCGTTTGGGTGGATACGCTCCCAGACTTTTACGTCAGGCGAGCCGATCCCTGCTGGCGGCCATTTTTACCGCCTGGTGGGTCGCAATGGCTGCCATACTGCAAGTCAACCTCCGCCATCAACACCACTTCCCGAAGAGCTTTTTGTCTGCGGTCACGTGCGCGGCTTGCTTGCGGATGTCACACCACGGCATATTGACATTCACACGACTCGTCATCACAGGTGCAAACCAGACATTGCACCCAGAAATATGCCGATGGACGTAGTGTAGGTCAAGGTTCATGTACCATGCAAGAAAGCGCTGGGAATGTGTGTCACCAAGCCAAGGTATATTCCAGCTCGCTTGGAGCACGCGAGCCACACTGCTCAGGGGAATGTAACCCCTCTCGTGCTGCATTGCAAGAACACATCGGCGAACGATCACATCAACCGCGGCCCTTGGATCCCGATATCTACACCGGCGGCTCGCGGTGAGGTCCGTCCCACCCCGTGGGGCTCGGTTGGGCAAAAGTGGCTCCAAGTTTCCGCTGGGACCAGCTCAAAAGTTTAGGTAAAGGCAAAAAGAGGTCGTACCCGGAATCGAACCGGGGTTCCCGGAATGCTCAGAAAGATTAACTTCCTCAGAATCCGATGTGATGACCGCTACACTATACAACCTTCTAGATTTGATGTTGGAAGTTTTTGCAAATGGGGATTTGTAGCCTGGTCTGGGCAACGACCGACACCCACGAGCGGCGGGTTTTGCAGGGGGTAAACTCAGTGGTGAGCAATCTGACCCGCTCTGCGCATCACCTACTGAATTGACATAGGAGGACATCCGAAGGTTGAGCAGTACGAGGTCAATACTGCTCGATCGCTTCCTTGGTTGCATTCCAGATCGGCACCGGGCCGCCGACTGGGCCGCCAGCATGAACATGGGTGAGAGGCAGCCACCATGCGAGAATCGGCTCAGACTGCCAGTGGACGATCTAGACTGCCGAGGGAACCTCCCGCAGACCGTCACCGCGTCGGCCATACACGACAAGCGCAAGAGGCGCCAGTGCTGTCTTTGCGCACAGGTGCGGCGCTTCCAGAGCGCACCGACTCCCGTCTCCCACCTTAGATGTGCGGCTGCGATGTGCTTGATAATCCGCGCAGGATAAACAGGATAGCCGATCAATTTTCTGCCTTGAAGGTAAAAGCTACCATCGTATGGGATCCGTAGCCGCCGTTGGGAACGTTCCCCGCACGGAATAGCGGGTGGACGGCTTTGCCCCTTGTTTGCCTGAGCCGGTATTCACGTGAGGGTTGCAAGTACAGGCTTTCTCAACGAACGTCAACGGCTTGTTGACCTGCCCTGTTGGGACGGACTGAATCTTGTTTTCACAAATCTGGATAAAGTTCCAAATCCTAGGTCGAACGAACGATGAGAGTTTTGCGCTCTGTAGCCCCGCACTCGTATCTCGTGACTCACCGCTATTGCGGTCAAGATCAGACGGTTGATGATCGAAACAACCAACTCTCATGAGATTCTTTGCCGCCGTGAGGCACACACATTGATACCACCAAGCAAGATGGATACGCCCGAGCTCAACACCTTTGCCGACGACCCGCTCGTCCAAGCGGTAACGGCATACGTCAAAGAGTACATGTCGAAGTATGACGCTTCGCATGATTGGAGCCACATCCTCCGCGTAGTCGGTCTGGCGCGGTACATCTACTCCAAGTCAGAGAACCGAGCCGACCTCGACCTGCGCGTTATCCAGCTAGCGGCCCTCCTCCACGACGTCGGCGATCGCAAGTGAGTCCGGTCCCCTCACCTCAACTACCACCCACTAGACACCACCACACTTACCCGCCCACCGTTGCCTCCCTTACCCACCCAACAAACGCACCTCTCACCACCACCCCGATCCTCTCCTGCAAGCAAACCAACATCCCATCTCTCCCCCATATGTGCACACCTCTCAGGTCCTCCTCTCAACTCCCCTCTCAGCTCCCCTCCCTCTTCTCACTGACAAACCCCCTCCAGATACTCCTCCCCCTCCACCCCCCCATCAATCTCCTCCCTCCTCCTCACCCACAACTGCCCCCCACCCCTCGCCACCAAAATCCAAACCATCGTCCACTCCATCTCCTACACCACCGAGACCCAAAACCCCTCGCAAACCCTCTCGATCCTATCCCAGCACCCCGAACTCGGCGTCGTCCAAGACGCAGACCGTCTCGACGCCCTCGGCGCCATCGGCCTAGGACGCATGTTCACGTACGGCGGTGCCAAGACGGGACGGTGCATGGATGAGAGTATGCAGCATGTTGATGAGAAGCTGCTGAAGTTGGAGGGGATGGCCAAGACGGAGGTGGGGAGGGAGTTGATGAGGGAACGGACGGAGAGACTGAGGGTTTTCCAGGGATGGTGGGTGGAGGAGAGGGGTTTTGCTCTTGCTGTTGGGGAAGGAGAGGAGGGGAGCAGGTGATGTGTGGAGGGTGGAGAGATGGATGGTGTTGGTGAAGGGTTGATGAAGGGCAAAGGAGTTTATAAGGTGTGTTGGCGGTTCGTCGCCTTGGTTCAGCGGTTTTCCGTACACTCCAGTCCCGACTGCCTGCAGATGCTTGAGGTGATAGCATGCGACTCGAGGCGGCATCGAAGCGAGATGCATGCCACGGTTATGTAACCTTTGAGCTCCCGCCCCGGTCCCTACCCGCGCCCGGGTGAGGTCGAGATTGGTACACAGATCGTTCCGCCACCGTGAGAGTGTGAAACAAATATGCACCTCTTCGTTTAGATATCAACAACAATCGAGTCATCACCAACACCGCATATCACACATCAACCAACCGGTAACGTTGTAATATCCTTTTCGTCGCATACTATCCCCAATCCCACTCATCCCCGAAGAAACGCACTCCATGCCTCCCACTCCACAAGTCCTCACTCTCATTGAATATTACAAGAATCATAACACCAAACCAACAACTTATTGACTAAAGTCTACCTACCTAGGTGCAGATAGAATGTATGTGACGAAGCGAAACCCCTTTATTTTCCCCTTTCAAATGACAAGATCTCTCCAATCCGACGTATCTTCATAAGGAATGCAAATGATGTGATATTACGATTAAAACCACCGTATCCAGTACTCCGAAAGGTAGTGAGATGGGTGACCAGAGGTCTAACCTAGAGGAGATAAGCGGCAGCGAAGCCCACAACTGCGAGACCGGCCACGGCCTTGTTGTTGGTAGCGCCGGCGGTAACGGCAGGCGGCGGCCTGTTGGTGCCAGTGGGGGTTGTGATGAAGGTAGTGGTGGACTTGGTGGTGTTGTGATGGGGGTACGACGATGTGGGGATGGGCTCAACGATGATGGTGGTAGACAGCGACTCGGTGCAGGTTGTGTCGGTGGTCTTGGCCGTAGTCTTCTTGGTAGTGGTAGTCAAAGACTCGGTGCAAGTTGTGGAGGTTGTTTTCTTGGTGGTGGGAACGGTCTCGATGATGGTGGTAGTGCTCAGCGAGCGGCTGCTGGTAGGGATGGTCTCGATGATAGTAGTCGTGCTCAGCGAGTGGGTGGGGTACGGGGTCTCAATGATGATGGTGGTGCTTAGGGACTGCGAGGTAGCCGTGTAGGTAGGCTTGCAGAGGCTCGTAGGGAGGGTGAAGGTGCTGCTGGGAGCATAGACTACGCAGTTCTTTTCACAGGCGGCATCGCCAGCCTCGGGGCTGCTTTGGTAGCAGAGAGCGCCGCCGGAACCGAGGGGAGGCTGGCCGGCGAGGTTCTGGGGGTGTCAGCGGGTTGCTTGTATGGATACACAAGGCGTGTAGGAGTCAAGAGTGATAAGAGTGAACACTTACGTTACCGCAACGGCCGGGTTGGCCTACGGTCCCGTTGCAACGGATGATGATATCGGTGCCCAGGGAGTCACCAGCGCAATAGGCAGCGCCTGGCTTGGTGCAAGTGAAGGTCCCTTCAGGACCGTAAGTGACCTGGGCGCTGGTGAGGCCCGCCGAGGCGAGGGTAAAGGCGATGATGCTCTTCATGGTGGTTGTGTGTAGCGGTTGGTATTAGAAGCGAGAGTGGTAAGTTGCGACAGACAAGCGAGTGACCAAGCAAACCCAGTTAAAAGTGAGTGTTTAGACAGATGCGCGATGGTGGATGGCGAGATGGGAGGGTCGTGGTCGAGTCCGGACAGTGCCCCTTTATAAGCTGGCACCATCCGGGGGCTCCCAGCGCCCTCCGACGACCTTGATACTCGTCTGTGCTACCGTCAGTTCTTAGTAAGGTCGCGAGAAAGCCGGGGAGGTCCCGGTCTCCAAACAGTGTGTACCATGTTCTTGGGAGGTCTGGGGGACAAAGGCCTAGCTTGTGTACACAGCAGCAGTTGGTACGAGCCATATGGAGCGATGGCTGGTGTGATTCTCGTGTCGGGTCCCCGTCCCCGTTGAGGCCCAGGTACAGCCCCCTCGTTGCGCTCGCGCTCGCCTTCAACACGAGCGAGACAGGGACAGCAGGGGAGGGGGAGGAGGACGGGGAGGCTGGTGAGCGGCGACAGACAGAATCATCAATCCGAGTCCACGTGCGAGACCGTTTTGCCGCCACACCTCACACTCGCCCAGTTTTCGCCTCCGACCCGTATACAACCGTTCACCACCCCCCGTCTCCCAGTCTCGAGCCATGCGCTTCCGGGGAACCGACGATGAATGAGCGCCCCCCTCACCCCGAAGACGGACAACGCCGAGAAGACAAGAAATTACAAAGGACGTGATCGAGGTCGTTCAACGATGCGCAGCTCGACTCGACAGACTTCCCAAGATCAAATTACCTTGCCGGCCCTCGTTTCACGGCACTACTGCGGTCGAAGCCTTCTGGCCCAAGCAATTCGCGGGCCGTTCATGCAGGAACCCATCGCGTCCCGATATGTGGTTGCTGCGGGGTGGGACATTGCTTCGTTGTGTTGCGCCTTTCCATTTCAATGATACCTCACTCTGCTTATGTAGGTGCAATTATTACTGTGCGGCGTGTTTCCACATGATTCTGCCCCTCAGCTGGACTTTGCGCTCGCCCGTCTTCTGCCGGATCGGAGGGGACGGAGTTGAAAGGGTTCAACGTAAGTCCCGGCCGGAGGATCACGGGAGGAAGCGCCACATCGCGATCCCAGCACAAAGATGGGTTGGGTTTAAACAGGCAACCCATCATGTCATTTCCGATGACCTGGTAAAGAAGTAAAATCACCGCCCTGGCGACGGACCTATTTTTGACGATAATTACGGGTCGGTAGGTGGCATTTCCTCGGGATTCGCGTCGTTGCTATTGTTCAGGGTCCGCCACTGGTCTCGTGGTGGTTGAGGAGTCATCGTATCGAGAGACGGCACCTCAGCGGCGGATCTGCCGGGCCGTTTGGCTGTTTTGGGAATGCGAGGTGTAGACGAGATAAATCTGGAGCCGAACCAACACAGTGAGCGGTAGGTACGGCACCGATACGGCTTCGTGTTGGATTTTTTGACATAACGTCTCCATTGTGAGCTGAGATTCGACTTGTTCGCACTTTCCGTCTGGAGACCACTGACAGCAACCACCTCGTTATGTGATCCGATGTCCACGATATCACCACACCGCAATACACAGCCCTTTTCTCTTCTCTTCCGGATTCAGCTTGACAATCACAGATTAACCGCTTCCTTTGC